GGACGGGCAGGAAGGGGAGGGGAGCTCCAGGGGAGAGCAAAGATGAAGACAGGTGGGCGTGTGAGGTGTGTCGAACAGGGAGCGAGAGAGGAGGTCCGTGAAGCTGCACAAGAAACACCCCCGGATTAGGGCCGGCTGCCACCCTCGCTTCCCAGGAGGCCAAGGGGACGCCCGCCTCCTGCTGGGCCCTCCCCCAACCGGTTCCAACTCTGGCTGCACCGCGGCACTCTGGTTAATTCTTCAACGGCTGCCCACTGTTCTCAGCCTGATGTCCGAATTCCTTCACATAATTTAAGGAGATGTCTCTGTGACCTCTCCCGCATCATGAGCCTGCTGTGGGGTCCCGCACTGCCCCCTCACCCCACGTACACCACCCTTAGTGAGTAACCTGAGCCCTTCTCTCCTCCAGGCTTCTCAAACATGGTTTGGTCTGCTTCAAGTATCGTCCCTCCCACCCCGCCCCTACAGCCGGGCACACCCCTCACTCTTTACATCCCCATTTAGATGGGTGTCTGCCAGGCGCCTGGGTGGCTCAGTCGGCTGAGCCTCTGACTGGATCTTGGCTCAGGTGTTGATCTTGCAGTTTGAGGGACTGAGCCCCCTGTCGGGCTCTGTGCTGACAGCACAGCACAGAGCCTGTGCGGGATGCTCTCTCTCTGCCCCTCTCCCACTCGTGCGTGCTCCCTCTCTCTCTCTCTCTCATAAATATATATTTAAAAATAAATAAATAGAATTTAAAAAACTTTTTAAAAACGGGTGTCTGCCTACCAAAGAGGCTCCTGACTCCCTAGCCTGCATTACAGGGCCCTCATGCCGAACTGGATGGATGGGAACAGAGTCTAGAGCACTCCGACGGCCTGGAAGAACTCGGACCTGACACGATGGGTGCTTGCGCTCATTATGAGTGATATGGTGAATATGATATCCTAAAAATTAATCTGACAACACTGTACCCTTAAAAATCATCAGTGTTCTCTTAGGCAAAAGTAGACTGTACCAGGAATACGTGACCATTTGCCTGCTAGGTATACATTCCTCTTCTCTTTGGGTAACAACCCCTAATTTTCCCAGGGGGAACCTCCCCTGTCTCTCATTCTCTGTCCACCAGCTTGGGGGGGGGGGGGGCTGATGCCACCCCAGCTCCAGGAAAGGGCCAAGTACAGCACCAAGGGTCAAGGGCTAAGGGTCAGGGATGGGCATGAGATCCCCAGGTGGTCCAACTATACCCACTTCTGGACTTCTGCTGGCAATATTTAGAAAAGATGCTCCCTTTTTCCCCACGGATTGCTAGACAGCTATGACGTAAGCCTGGAGCCCGCTAACGATGGCACCAACACAGGAGATACGCAGAGACAAGAACGGTAAAGACACAGACTCTGACAGCTTTTGTCTGAACACCTGCACTCAGCCGTGGCGTAGCTAGCGATCGGAGCCAATCCCTTCCATTTGGGGCCTAAGGCAGTTCTAGGTGGGTTTCTGTCACTGGTGACCAAGACTGTGGACCCCCACGCAAAGGTGATCAGAGTGAAGGCAACGAAATAACCTAACACCACAACAGTCCTACCAGCAGCATGCTAACTGGCAGTTCCTGCTAAAGGTGATCTCGCGGTAGCAATCCTGCAAATGCGTCAGCAAAGATTCTCCTTGCTGGTGGGCATTCGGCAGTCACTGTCACAGCCGTGCCACCAGTGTGGGCAGCACACCACCCACCCGTGACATGTAGCAAATAACCTCTTACTATCTCAGTCTCCCTCAACTAAATCGCTAACTCAGGTCGGTCGACAAAGACCACAGGCACACAGTTTTCCGTTACTTAGCAAAAGTAAAATCCTAACAGGCTGCCTCCTTTCCAGGGTGAAAGCGGAGAACATTATGACGAATAACGTGGTTCAAAAGCAATTCCGGCTCTCTCTGTTATTAGCCTCTCAATTTTTCTTTACATCGCAAACTGTTCTTAAAAATAGTCTGTTTTGAAAAGGGGGACGGCTCCTAGGTGCCCTGCATGTCAAAAAAAAAAATTTTTTTTTCAATCCTAAATTCTTTTATTTACCTTAATCTTTCCACCCACACTGCCATGAATATATTAGGAACTGTCACTTGTCACTGGCAGCCTGACCAATTTGTATCAGTTGCCCAGGACTTTCCCAGTTTTAGTACTGAAAGTGCCACGTCCTGGGAAATCCCTCCATCCCAGTCACTCCGGGGTGGTCACCCTTCGTGTCAGGTGAAGCCCAAGTCCCATTTTACCTCCACCCTTATTTCCTACAACCACCAGCGCCACCTTGAAACTCCACAAACCCAGGGTCCACCCCCCCACACCCTGCGGCCCCACATGATGGCTCCTGCTTGTCCCTGAAGACTTTGCTCTGGTGTTGCCTCCCCCAGAAGGCTTCCAAGGGTTCCTACAGAACCCTGGACCTACAGAGATCCCGGCATCTGTCACGCTGTATAGTCTGGGTGTTATGGCTGTGTCCCCCACCAGCCTGTGAACTCCCTCAGGGAATGAGCTGTTGTGTACCTAAGGCCCAAGATGTTTACTATCAGAGCCAAACGAAGAACGTCACAAGCACTGGGGTGAGGACCAGCTGTTTACGGCACTCTTTTCCAAGTCATCTTGGGATCTTCCGAGTCCCACACCGATAGGTAAATCGCCGAGTTGCTCAGACTGTAATACGGATTAAGCTCATCTGCCTGACCCAGGACAGGCAGCTTGGGTTTCCAAAAGCACCCAATGGCCTTTTAACCTAAACAGTGAAACTGGGCAGTGCCCAGATACGTAAAAGGAATCTGTGAACCTTTACCATCCCCTGGCTGGCCGGAGGGTAAATGCTCCGTTGGGCACAGAGACTGAGCCAAGTTGCGAGTCGCTTCCCAAACCAACTTGGGAGGAAGTTTCATTCAGAAAGACAGTGCAGTGGGTACAGGCATCAAGGGCAAACCCTGGCTTTGACCCGTTTCAGCTGTTGTCACCTTGGGGCAAGTGACTTAGCCTCTTTGAACCTTAGCTTCCCCTTCTATAAAACGGAAAACTGTAACAGTTCCTACACCTCAGAGACTTGCGAGGACTCAGAAATCACACAGAAGTCCTGAGCGAGGACCTGGCAGAGAAAATGCACTCAATAATCATTCAGGTACTTGACAAGGGCTAGAGTCAGGCAGAGCTAGGGGAAAGCCTGCAGGTGCCTGGACGCTGGCAGGAGGCCCAACCTCCTTTAGATATTCATCCTTCCCTGTCTCAGACACATCCACCCACTCTCTAAATTCCTGAAATCCTTACGCCTCTCCCTTTCCAGTCCAGCTGCCCTCCCGTTTAAGATTCCTGGCTTCCCTACACACCCCTACCCTGTCTATGCCTCTCTCCTCCCTGTGTCCTCTCTCATCACCCCCACCAAAACCATTCCTTGATACATCCTGATCCCTGCTGCCTCCTACTCTTCAAGACTCACACACATTTATTAAACGCCTGCTCCATGCTAGAAAGGACACAGCTGAGAAGCAAAGGATCCCCGCCCCTGGCCAAATGAGAAGCCCCATCTAATTTCCCTCCCACCAATCCTTTCCCTGGGCCCCCATCTTCCTTCTACTGCTCCCCGCCTCCCCCCTCCATCCTTCTTCCTTCCCATTAATAATCTTGGGAGCTCCCTCCGGAAACCAGTCTATTTCTTACCACCAAAGGTTTGCCTTCTCCCAACTCCACTGCCGCCCCACACACTATGTTTTCCTCCCTGGAGTCATTCCCTCCGCACAACTCTCTATTTTCCATCAGCACCTCCAAACACCCCCCCCCACACACACACACACCAAAAATTCCATGTTTGTCTACATGTTCTGCACCTGTCCCAATTCATTCGTTTGTTGTTTCATTCTTTCAGTAGCCACTGAGCTCCTACTGTGTGCCAGGCACACAGCACGAGATGCTGAGAATACCACCGTGAGCAAAAAAAGGGGTCTCTTCTCCCCTGGCAGTAACAGTTGAGGAGCAGACCGAAAAGGAGCGAAAACAAGCAGGGTAAGTGCAGACAGTGGAGCTATGCATTGAATGAAATCAAGAGAAAGATCAGATGGAAAGGAATGGAGGTGGGTAAGCACTTGAGGCAGGGTGGTCTAGGAAGGCCTTCCCTAGCTGATAGACACAGTGACCGCCATCAGCCACGTACTGTGTAACAGACACGGGATCAATGTCTCTCCATGCGTGACATGATTGAATTCTTGCACAACGGTTCACCAACCCCGTTTGCAGAGGGGGCACCAGAGGCTCAAGGAGGCCAAGTAATCTGTCCAAGGTCACACAGCTATTAAGTGGTGGAATCAGGATCTGAATGCAGGTCTGATGCACGCCTGCTTCCCAGGACCACGTCTGCCACCTGTCCTTCCCCCAGAGCTCTACTTCTGCTAGTCCTCCCCATAGTCTCCACCAAGGGGGAAAAAAAAATATTTTCATTACTGCCGTTCATTGAGCACTCGTGCGTGCTTCCAGTTTTGCGTGCATTCTCTTATCCTCCCCTCAAAACGATAAGAAGCAGGTGCTGTCACTATACCCGTTTTACAACTGAGGAAACTGAGGCCTAAAAATTCACGCACTTACGTTCAAACCCTGATCTGACTCCTGGGTCCAGCCCTCTGACTCCTAAGCTGTCCAGCCTAAGAAGTACCACCCTGGTCAGCTTGGTGCCCACCGCTGCCCGCCGGCGACAACGAAGTCTGCATCCATAAACTGAAACCTCCTCCCCTTACTTTACAGACGGGGGTGCCGAGACTCCGAGAAGCTAAGCCACTTGCCCAAGGTCACACAGCGAGGAGCGACGGTGTCAGGGTTCGAATCCAAGCGCCCTGACTCCAGAGCCCTCGCTCTTAACCACCATGCAGTCTTTCCCGGGCGTCTCTCTCCGCCCTCCACCTCGCTCTCACACCTCGCAGAGGCCCCGGCCCGGGGCTATGCGCCCCACTCCCACGTCCAGCCCCGCGGCCTGCCCCCCTCGCCCCCCAACAAACACACTCACTTGAGGTGGTCCAAGGAGTGGATGTTGCGGGAAGACTTGCCGTGGCCCCCGCCCACCCAGCTCCGCGAGCGGCCAAACATGTCGGCGGCCCCGACCCGTTGCCCGCCTCACGGCCTCATGCCCGAGCGGCCGAGCGACCGAGCGCCCGCAGCGGCAGCACAAGCGGAGGAGGCAGCGGCGGAGGTGGTAGAGGGACCGCCAACCACCTTCCTCCCCGGCCCACAGCTCCGCACTGACATTCAGCCGGAACCGGCCGTTCGACCGCCGCGCTTTACGGCCGCCGCCACGGGGAACGCTGGGAAATGCAGTCCTCCCGCGAGGCCCCCGCCGAGAGGACTCTGCAAACGAACTACGACGCCCGGCGTGCATCACGCACCTACGGACCTGCGGCCTTGGAGAAGAGGCGGAGCGAGAGGAGAGCCCGCAGTATCGTATGGTGGGCGGGAATGGGAAACCTGTGCGCGGAGCCTTGAGGAGGGCATCGGTGAAGTTGGGTGACTCAAAGTAACCGCAGTGTTGATAATTATTAGCTTTTACGATAAGAATAGCTATTGCACTATATATACTATGTGCCAATGTCCTAAGCGATTTGCATGTATTGTTACTTGATTCTAACAACCAGCCTATGACGCGGATACTGTTATCCCCATGCCGCCCCCCTCCTCCCCGGGAAATCTGAATCACAGGTTTAAGGGATTGACTTACCTACGCTCATGGTTCAAACCCTGGCACCCTTATTTAATGCCCCAATAAGCTACTAATCTGTACCAAATTGGTAATGGCCTTGATCTTAACAATTTTTTTCTTTCCCCACATGAGCCAAGAAGTGTATCTAAATTTCTGTCCTGGGGAGTGACAGGTTCCCTGGAGGCAAGACTGCCGTGGACATTATTCATTCATTCATTTCTACACCAGACAGTTCTCTACAATCTATGGTGTCCCATTAACTGTGTTCAGACTTGGGCTAAGGACCAATGTTCTCCCCACTTCCTAGCACAAAGTTTTGCACATCATAGGTGCTCAACAAATACTGGCAGAGTGCGGCGCCTGGTGGCTCCGTGGGTTGAGCATCTGACTCTTGGCTTCCCTCAGGTCATAATCTTGAGGGTGACCTCCAGCTTGGGATTCTCTCTCTCTGTCTCTCTGCCCCTCCCCTGCTCGCGCTTTCTTTCTCTCCCAAAATAAACCACAACAAAAATACTGGCATAGTGAATGAATGATTGCATGAAGGTTTCACCTTCAGCAGTTGGAGAATTAATGGTTTTCTCTGTAATTCATCTGAGGGGCAAGAAAACAGCCATGGAGAAAAAGGGCAGGCATGTTCTCCAGACGCATGCGGACCTAGCATCTTCTTGGGTCCTCCCTTTTCCCTGGGCCTAGATTTCCTGATCTGTAGAAAGTGGTAACATACTACACTACCCCATCTAGCTACAATGAAGCAATGTATGTAAAGCACCCAGCTCAGTGTGGCCTGAGATGTCAAGATCTGTTGAACTGCTCTGGAAGATTGCTTTGGGCAAGATCAGTCTCCTGAAGGATATACAGGGGGTGCTCATGAGGAAGGGAAATCAGTGAGTAGCAGACTCACTTCTCTACGTACTTCTTGGACGTTTTAATGTTTAACCACGTACTGGTTTTTTTTTAATGTTTATTTATTTATTTTGAGGAGGAGAGCAGAGAAAGAGCGAGAGAAGGGTGGAGAAAGGGAGACAGTGAATCCCAATCCAGCTCTGCATTATCAGCACAGAGTCCGATACAGGGATCTATCTCACCAACTATGAGATCATGAGCTGAAATCAAGAGTCAAGAGTCAGACGCTTAACCTACTGAGTCATCCAGGCGCCCCTAACACGGACTGGTTTTAAACATGCTTTACAAAGTAAAAACAAGAAGCACCCCCACTGCTGCAGGTCTGAGCTGCCTGGGAATGTCTTCATTCAGGTGTCCCTGAACCCTATTAGGTAGACCCCCGCGATGCAGCCAGAATTTGGAGAGCTCAAGGAGCTCTTCCCCACCACGGAAAATTGCCACTTTGGGAAGTCGGAGAGTTTCACTGGTAAATTCACCGCCCCCCATCCTGCCTCCTTTTGACAAGTAAACTGAGTCCCAAAGAGGCGTGACGCCATACCCAAGTCTAGGGGGTTGCTGAGAAGTTTGCGGTTTCCTCCAGCTTTCGTAGCCCTTAGGATACGCGCAGGTTCGAACTGTGTTCGGTCTCTTTCCCCTCCCGCTACTCCGTGGGGGATTCTCAGAGCGAATTGGATTTGAGACCTGGGCGGAGCCCGGAACCAGGAAAGCAAGTCAGAGGCCAGCACCCCGAGGGGCGGAGCGAAGCGGTACCGCCCCCGGACGTCTCGGACCAATGACCGCGGGCGTCGAGCAGGCCAATGAGCGCGGGCAGCGGGCGGCTGGCCAATGAGCGCGGGGCCGCTTGGGAGGCGGTGCTCGGAACGCGACCTGGAGAGCGACGCGGCGGCCGCAGCCATGGGTGCTGGGCCTGCGGGGCCGCGGAGGGGTCGCGAGGAACTGCCGGGCGGGGCTGAAGAGACAGCCGCCGGGACTGGCCCTCGACGCTGAGCTGCGGTGGGGCCCCCGCCTGCTCTTGGAGGGCCAGTGAGCGCGAGCGGGGCGCGTCGGAGGAGCCGGGCAGCCGCCGGCCACCTCAGGGGGGCCTCCCTGGCTGCCGGGAGGATCGAGAGGGTCGTGTGGGCACATCTGGGGGTGCGTGGACCCCGCCGGGCGCTTTTCAGGGGCCAGGGAGCGTCTGCAGGGGCCGCGGCACACCGGCGGGGGCACCGCCGGGGCCCAGCGCCGCCTCGGTCGAACCCCCGGGGCGTCCCTGCATGGCTGAGCTGCCCCTTTGCCGGCCGCCCGGGCGCCGCAGCGGCTGAGATCGCTGGGATCGCCGGGCCGCCGCCGCCCTCGCCGCCCCCTGCATGCCCGGCGCCCGGGTCGCGGCCCACCTGGACGCGCTGGGCCCCCTGGTCCCCTACGTGCCGCCGTCGCTGCTGCCCTCTATGTTCTACGTGGGCCTGTTTTTCGTCAATGTGCTGATCCTATACTACGCCTTCCTCATGGAGTACATTGTCCTCAATGTGGGCCTCGTCTTCCTGCCCGAGGACATGGACCAGGCGCTCGTGGACCTCGGCGTGCTCTCCGACCCCGGTTCGGGCCTCTACGATGCCGACTCGGAGCTCGATGTCTTCGATGGTTACTTGGAGTAGGCTTGGCTACCGTCCTCCCCTCCCCCCCAACGACCCGCAACCCTCGGCCTGGACCGGCCGCCGCTGCTGGTTGGGGGCATCGTTTGGCCAGGGATGGGACCCCCAGGACGAGGCCCTCACTGGCCTCCAAGACCTGTAAGTGCCCTTTCTGCACCAGATGAGGATGGGTTGGGGCGCTGGCGAAGAAGAGGGTGGCATCTCCACACCGGACACACACCCTTCCCCCAGGCTTGGGATTCCTCCATCCACCTCCTGGAGGTCTACTTAAGATGCCAGGAATGGCCAGACCCCTGTTAGGCCCTTAGTTGGGGCTGCAAAGCTTTCCCCGGTGAAGGTGACAGTCGTTGAGGGGAAGGGAGGCTGAGCCTGAATGGTGTTGGGTTAGCCACGGTACGTACTGTCACAGCTTGTGGAAAAGCCTTTGCATCTAGATCCCTTTGAGGCAGATCTGTCAGCACCTCGCCTCTGCCTCCATCTGGCTTGATGGTGACCTTGGTTTTTCCGGAATTCCCATAGTCCCGGAAGGATAAAGACTTGGAGTGTCAGAAGAGCTAACACGCTGGGCACGACCACCTTTGTCCCGTAGCCCTTTCGGGGACTGGGTGGGGACTTGAGAGCAAGGGCTCAGGGCCGAGAGCGTAGGAGGTGAAACCTCCTCCAGCAAAGTCTGCACTTCCTTTTGGCCTTGGGTTTGCTGCTGTTCGGGAGTCGGGTTTCAGGGTGCCGGGCAGTACCGCAGCTTGGATCTGCCAGGGCTGCCAGTTTTGCAGGTTGCTTTTGCAGACAAGGCAAGCTGGGGCTGGCTCCGCCTACGGGGTTTGCAAGATCTCAAGGAGGAGTAGGGGCCACAGGATCTTTGCACTGAGGTGTTAAAGCTCTGCCGCTGGGCTGCGACCAGGAAGCTGCGTGTCCTGCCCCACCTTGTGTGTCGATGGGAGGAACATGAAGGTCCAGGAAGGAGGAGGGCTTGGCCACAGTCTCCCAGCCGGGAAGAGAGGCGACTGCACAAGATGAGAGGACACGCAGGCACTTTTTGGCTGAGCCCCTCCGCTGTTCGGTGCTGCAGTATCACTAAGCACAGGACCCGAGTGGCAGCGAAGGGAGGATATCGAGGTAGCAAGGGCTCCTTTGAGAAAACAGACACTAATGCCACTCGCCCCACGCAAGCTGAGTTAACGCCCCTCCTCTTGTTGCCTGTCTTTGCCAAGATGACCATAGTCAGAGGGAATGCCGGATGCGGCAGGACCCACTGGTGGTAGTGCTGGGGGCTGAGGGCTCCCCTGAGGGGCGGACAGTGACATTTCTTTGAGAAAAGCTTCACTTGAGCTCAGTGCGACCTTAACAAGAACCAGGTGCCGGGCAGAGTGTCAGCACTCTTGCATACCTACCCAGTCTGCCTACCTACCTGCCTGCCATCCATCCATCAATCCGTTCTTTGATTGAAGAAAAATATTTACTGAGTACACACTGTGCCTCGTGGGTGAACACAGTGAACAAGAGAGACTTAGCCCTGGCCCTCCTGGCACGGGGAGAGAAGACACAAGCAGATTCCCAAGCAAGGTATCAGATTTTCTGGGAGCCATTAAGACATGTGGGAAGGACCTGGGCCATCCTTGTTGAGTTCAGCCCTTAGAACAAGTGCCTGGCATCTAGTAGGTACTCGGTAAATGTCTGTTGAGTGAGTAAAGCAGAATAGAGATGGGCTGCTTTAGAAAGGGGGTGTCAGAGAAGGTCTCTTCCAGGAGATGACATATTTGAGCTAGCCCTAAGTTGGTAGACAGAGCCAGACTGAAGATCTGGGGAAAACCAATCTGGGCACAGGCAATGGCTCGTGCCCAGGCAGTAGGGTAGGAGAGCTGGTTTGTGCCGCCACCAAAATGAGGCCACTGTGGCTGGAGAGCGGCCCCAGGAGAGGTCAATGGGGCAGGTGGGGGCAGACCCTACAGGACCTGGGAGGCCAGGGCCACGAGCAAGGGGAAGCCAGCAGAAGGTTTTAAGCAAGAGATGACTTCGGCAGTTGTGGGCAGAATGGGTCGTCGGCGCGAGTGTGGATCAGGGAAGCCGTTTGGGAAGTGTGTAGTTGCCCAGGCTGGAGGCGGCGGGGGCTTGGCCGGGGCGAGGTTCGTGAACACGGAGAAACAGACTGAAAACACCTTGCGAAGCCAGAATCTGTGGACTGTATTCAAAACCTGTCCTGAGTATTGATCATTCACCGTGCCTGGTGCTAGGCCCTTTGCACCTGCTTCCACCAGGCCCCAGTGCTAGGCCTTGGAGAGCCTAAGATGAATCTCTGCCTCCAAGCCAAGCACTTGACTTTGAGACAGCGTAAGTTGGTGAAGAATGTCTCATTTTATCTCTTCACCACATCAACAGAAACACTTCCCCTTCCAAATGAAAACATTGGCATGCTCTGAACCCAAAACTTAAGCCCAAATGCTTCATCAAACTTCGCAGCAAAGGCTGTTTGAGCAGAAGCACCAGGAAGCATGTCTCAGGGACACCCTTGCAAAGCTGTCAGAGTGTCGGGGCCCAAGCTGGGAAGCAGGAAGGCCTGGGGCTGGGGGGCAATACTCGAGCCCCATGGAGCGGGGAAGTCACGCACAGCGGTCCTTCTTCCCCAACCCCGAATCCAGGCCTAGGCGGCCTTGGCCCCGGGACCAGGGAAGCCCAGACCTGGGTAGGGGAGGGTGGCCAGTAACAGGAAAAGCCTCTGGGAGAGAGCTAAAAATGGTCCGACTGCACCGCATCTGTGGGCCCCTTTCTGTAAGCAGAGGAACAATCAGTAGTCAGATCTCTTTCCTTCTGGCTCGTTCTCACGCGGACACATTCTCGATGTTACGCACGACAAGGTCATAGAAGCACTGACGGGGGTGGAGGGCTGGCCAGGCAGCAGGGACTGGGGAGGATCTCAGGGTGCACTCACTTTCTCCCCTCTTTTTCCTCTTATGTGTGTATGAACATGATACCGTTCATCAAACATTTGTTTGAAGGAGGCAGTATTAGGGTTGTGATTAGGAGCACGTACCTGGTTCAAATCCCAGTCCGGGCTGTGACCTTGGGCATGTCACGTATCTCTCTGTGGGTCAGTTTTCTCTTCTAAGGAGCGGGGGGAAATGAAATCTATCTCACTGTGAGGATTAAATGGGATAGATGTAAAGCTCCTAGGCCCTCCTGTGTCCAGTCAGTGGTCATATTCCTGTTAACCACTGCTAGCATTAACAGATGTAATGGAAAGTGTGTATGCTCAGGCTTTGGCAAATGTATAAACCTGCCTGTGCACTCCTACATGAATATTCACATCCCCCAGTGAGCCACGGAGGACTGCCTTCCTGAGCGCTGGGTGGGTTCGGGTCTGGGCTCCTAAAAGAGAATTCCCCCACTGTCTTCCCAGCCCGGGACCCTCAGGAGACCTTTCCCACTGCCTGTGGTCTCCCAGGGCCACCAGATGTGGGCCCCGTAGAGTCGAGGCTACACTTTTCCTAGAGTGTTAATCATTGCCCAGGAGCAGGAAGTGGGGAATCAGGAGCTCCCTCCTTCCCAGGAGAAAGGCCCCTGCGGCTGGCCTGAGAGCCTTCGGAGAGTCCTCACGTGCCAGCGTTTCCGATGCAGAGGCAGGGCAGCTGGATTGATTCGTCCCTGTTCTGGCACGGAGGGAGGGCTGTGGGAGAGAGCCTCTCCGCACCGGAAATGGAGAGCCTACAGGATGTTGCTGTCAGTCACTGGGGCCTGGTGTAGCTCAGATTCGGAGCTCGGGTAACCAGACCGTCGGGCTACCTATTACAGGGTCTCCTGGCTTCCGGGTCCTGACCGGGTGCCACGGCTGCTCCTTCTGATCTACCCGCCCTGGTCCCCTCCGTGCTAGTCGGCAGCCTGTGCCATGAGCAGAACACCCAGGCTGGTGTGTCAGTGCCCTGCTCAGAAACCCAGAATTTCTGCAGGGACGTGGACAATAGATTCAGGTCACGGGAGATCCCTCAGGCAGCTGGTGGAGCTCGTGGGGGGGGGGGGGGGGGGGGGGGGGGGAGAAGTGTCACGGCAGAGGAGGGAAACCAGATAGCTGTGGTCCAGGCAAGAGACAGGTGCTGACGGCAAGGGGAGGCAGGTGCACCCCTGGCCTGGCCGACTTTCCACTCTGTCCTACCGCTAGGTTCACCTGGAAGACCACTGGCCGTGGGACGCATAGGTGCTGGCTGCCCCTCTGGGCGGAGAAGGCCCCATTAGGGAGGGGTGAGGAGCCAAGGAAGCAAGGCTGAGGAAGACAGCTGAGCTCCCCAACCCAGTGCTGGGTTTGCAGGGGCTCGTGGGGGTGGGGTGGGGGGCTCCCAAATCCCGACCCTGGAATAGTGCTCGCAATTCTCCCAGGCCTGCTGCACAGACGCTGTCACTCCTTTTTGCTGAGTTTTTTAGACCAAACTTTACCTTGAAGTAATTTCCCAATTAGGCAGAAGTTTCTTTTTTTTTTTTTTTAATTTTTTTTTCAATGTTTATTTTTGGGACAGAGAGAGACACAGCATGAACGGGGGAGGGGCAGAGAGAGAGGGAGACACAGAATCGGAAACAAGCTCCAGGCCCTGAGCCATCAGCCCAGAGCCTGACGCGGGGCTCAAACTCCCGGACCCCGAGATCGTGACCTGGCTGAAGTCGGACGCTTAACCGACTGCGCCACCCAGGCACCCCGAGGCAGAAGTTTCAAGAAGAGTGCAGAGAACTCCCCTGTAGTCCCCACCCAAAGTCACCAGTTGCACTGATTGACATGTTGCCACATTTGCTCCCGAACGCAACACGTGCTTGCCCTGCATGTGTGTGTGTGTGTGTGTGTGTGTGCGCACATACGTGTATGTGTGCAGTTACTCACCTGAGCTGTTTGAAAACAGATTGCAGACCTCATGTTCCTTTACCCCTAAATGTTTCGCTGGCTGTGTGCTTAGCTCAAGGACATTCACTGCCTTGACCACAGTCACAGTTGTCAACATCGGCAAATTTAACGCCGTTGCGAGCCTATGAACCAGATTCAGTCTGTGACTTTATTCAGATCTCACCAATTGGCCCAATAGTGGCCCTTTCACAATAGAAAGGCAGAGTTGAGGTCCCAGATCCCATCCCAGATCACCCTTGGCCTTAATTGTTATGTCTTT